TCCCAAATTAGATTGCCAAGAAAGAAAATGGGAAGCTCAAGCAATGAAAAGCACACATCAAAAGAATATAAGTTTCAACATGAAGATTGGAGAACTCCATGCAAATGACAACTTGGATCCAACCTTTGTTGCTCCCCTAGTAATGTTATGACCTATAATAATACATCACTTTATCTCTTAAGAAGTTAAAAAGAAAGAAAAACATTATTGTAAATTAAAGATAAATTTATTTGATGTGCTATCACTTATTACTCCTTTTAATAAAGAAACCTTCACCTTACTTTTTTTTTTCATATATACATATTCATTGAATTCAAAATCATTCTAGCACTAATTACTTATTCAACAGTTTTGAATAATTATGGGATTCAATATTTGTCCAAAAAAAATAGTTAGGGACTTAATTAACTAAAATTATTGTACAGAGAATTAATTGCTCATCAAATACAAGTTGAAGGACTACATTAGTATTCCCCAACCATCTACTTGAGGTTCTCCCAGCAAATAAAAAACCTTGTAAATGACATAAGACACAGCGGAACTACGATCTGGTAGCGAAGTACGGGCAAAACCCTAAAAACCAAAACACGAAACTCGCAGGCGACGACGACGACGACGACATATTTTGCTCTCTTGATATTCTTCGTCCCTTCTTCTACCCAGAATTGAATTTCAGGTACTCAATCTGCCTCTATTCTCCTTTTTTCCCAATTTCGCACCTTCATATCCTTTTTCATTTTAATGTTTTTTTTTTTCTATTTCTTATATATTTCTCAGATCTATGTTTTCTGATATTATTGACATTAAGTAAAGATTTATTACAGTTGATCTATTTTTTAACAATTAGAGATTTTTATTTTCTTGCGATTTTTGTTTACTTTTTTTTCTTTTGCGGGTAGGTCAAATTAAGTTAAAGAGTTTTCCTTCTGCTTGCATGAATTGAATTATTTTTGAAATCAATATAATTGAATATCTGACCCTTCACAAATAACGTTTTGTTCTGCATATGTTCTGTGTTAATTTTTGGCAACAGATATTTAAAAAAGCAGATAATGGTTTCGGGTCAGAGGAATAGCCATGGGAAGCGGGCTCATTCTCACTCGGACTATTCTGAGAATGGGGGGAATAAGAGGAGAACTTCTGGTGATGACAGGGAGCCATTTGTTATTAATTCAGAAGATACTGTGTTTCGCTACTTGTGCCCTGCTAGAAAGATAGGGAGCATTATAGGAAGAGGAGGGGATATTGTTAAGCAATTAAGGGCAGACACTAAGTCGAAGATTAGGATTGGTGAGACTGTTCCTGGATGTGAGGAACGTGTGGTTACCATTTACAGCTCTAATGAGGCGACAAATGGCCTGGAAGATGGTGAGACTTTTGTTTCAGCTGCTCAGGATGCTCTATTCAAGGTGCATGACAGAGTTATTGCTGAAGACTTGCATGGTGATGAGGATTCTGAAGGCCAGCAAGTTACGGCTCGACTTCTTGTACCATCTGATCAGATTGGTTGTGTTATTGGGAAGGGTGGACAAATAGTTCAGAACATACGTGGTGACACTGGTGCTCAGATTCGCATTCTTAAAGATGAGCATTTGCCCCCAGGTGCCTTGCGCACAGATGAACTTGTACAGGTAATGTGATGTAGCATTTAGCTTCTATGCTTCTAATCAACTTTGATGCTTATGGTTAATATTGATTCCTCAATAACATATGCAAAAGGGTCCCAACCAAATAACCTCGGCTGTTAAGAATGCATGTTTTGCAGAGAAGCACATACCTTTCATGAGCATTTATCCTCAACTACTTGGTTGTCTATTTAATTTACCTTTTGGCTTTAGATATCTGGGGAAGCTGCAGTTCTCAAAAAGGCTCTGTCTCAAATTGCAAATCGCCTTCATGAAAATCCATCACGCACTCAGCACTTGCTTACTTCAGCTATTTCAAGTGTGTATCCTTCTGGTGGTGCACTCCTAGGATCAGCTGCTCGTGGCCCTATTGTCGGAATAGCACCTTTGGTTGGTCCTTATGGAGGGTACAAGAGTGATACTGGAGATTGGTCACGCTCCTTGTATTCAGCTCCAAGGGATGAGATGTCATCAAAAGAATTTTCTCTCCGTTTGATCTGCCCAACTGCTAATATTGGAGGTGTGATTGGAAAGGGTGGTGCCATCATCAATCAAATCAGACAGGATTCAAAGGCAGTTATCAAAGTTGATAGTAACACAACTGAAGGAGATGACTGTTTAATAACTATTTCTGCGAAAGAGGTGGGCTTTCAATATCTGTTTATAGTTGTATTGGCATTCCTCTTCTTCTATGCTTCTAATGATGTAATCTCTTGCTTTATTAGTTCTTTGAGGACACTTATTCTCCCACCATAGAGGCAGCTGTGCGATTGCAACCTAGATGTAGTGAGAAGGTTGAAAGAGATTCAGGAATCACATCATTCACAACCCGCTTACTTGTGCCAACCTCACGAATTGGCTGCCTTATTGGTAAAGGAGGTGCTATAATAACTGAGATCAGGAGGATCACAAAAGCAAATATTCGTATACTTTCAAAGGAAAACCTGCCAAAAATTGCATCTGAAGATGACGAGATGGTGCAGGTATAGTCATGGATTTCTCTGTATTTTATTTTATTATTTATTTATTTATTTTTGTTGTAAAAAATTGTTTACTAATGTATTTAATAAAACAATTGTTAATTTTTAATGATCAGATTGCTGGAGACCTAGATATTGCAAAGGATGCTCTTATACAAGTAACATCACGGTTAAGAGCTAATCTTTTTGATAGGGAAGGTGCTGTTTCTGCATTAGTACCAGTTTTGCCTTATCTTCCTGTTCCAGCAGAGGGAGCAGATGGTTTAGGTTATGAAAGTAGAGATAGCAAGAGGCATGGACGGGGGCATTCTTATTCTGGTAGCTATGGCTCAAGTGATCTTCCTGCTAGTGACAACTATGGAAATTATAGTGGACAGGTACTTTTCTTTTTATAGTCACTAAGAGGGATGATGTGAAGAACATCTGTTTTGACCTTGTCATATACATATTGAAACATTTTAGTTCTCATCCATATCCAATTGCCCAAATATTAGTTTCCTACACGTGCTAGATATTAGTCTGCTGGTATCCTTCCTGAATCCTTTTTCCTCCAAGCTTTTAGCTAATTATGTACTGTTTCCATTATTTGTAGATTGGAGGTAGTGGTGGTGCTTATGGAGCTTATGGGAGTTATTCTTCTGGACGTGGTGGTGCTGGGTAAGATGATCTTTGAAAATATTATTACCATCATAATTATTGTTATATTACATTGAATGTTCTGATTAACCAGGGTCATTGCACATTGATTAGTGAACTACAGGACATGATTTTTTACTAAAATATGACCATAGATATGTGCATCCTGTTCCGTTCCAAGCATCTGAATGGGACTTTTTTTTTTTTTTTTAATTACTTGTTTTGGGAAAGTCACTTTTGTAGTACTCTCCAGTATTCATCATCAACTTCTCTTATCAGGTTATCAGGCCATACACCTTCTTCACGGCGCAAAACCTATGGTTACTAACAAACAGATGTTGGTATGTGCAGATTGACTAATTTTCCTTTTCACTGTCTTGTGATCAGTTACAAGATTGCTTCTTCTTTTTTTTTTCTTAAATTTAGCCAATACACGTTATGGCATATGACAGTTTGATATCATAACCTGCCCAACTCCCTTAAATAGGAATCTGATGCTCTTATTTTCCCTTGGTTGCCTTTCCCTTCCCATCAAAACAGCAGAGATTTATGCTGCCTGAAGCCAGCCTCCTGCCTCCTTTGATGAAGCCTGCCTAAACTGGAAGACCAGATGAACCAGGGTTTGACATACTCATGGCCCACCCTGATGCTACTACCTAGAAGCACCACATATAAGAGGAGATCTTGTTATTCACTTTTGAAACTTGCCATGTCCATGTCACCAAAAATCCAAGCTCTATATTATTGTGCTTCCGAGAACCTATCTAGCCAGAATGCCTGTGTTGCTGCTTTTATTTTTTAAATACCTTTTGTCTTTTATTTATTTTCTAGTTGATATTTGTTTAGAAGCCTAGAAACCATTTTGCTGCTTGCATCCACTGGCAGTTGTATCAGAGATCCTTGGGGTTTAATTTTCTAACATTTGTTTGCTGTGTTTCTCTTTCTTCTATGATTGCATTATTAGATTTGTATCTTATCCTTAAATTTAACCTTAACCTGTTACCCTGAAATCTAGTGCAGAACATTTGTCATCTGAATTGCAGGCAATGTCCATAGTCTAAAAAATGCCCCTAGATCTTGAAATCCGTGAGTGTGATGGTTTTCATGCAAATTTTTTACCTTCAACATTACCTGTTTGATAGCACTTGGAACCTGTTTGGATCAAGGGAAATGGAGGGGAGAGAATTCCTTTTATTTGGTCACCAACAAAATTTGAGGGAAGGGAGGGAAAGAAAAGAAGCTTCCTTTATTTTATTTATTTTTCCTTTCAATTCCTTTATTCATTAAAACCTATTCAAATCAGGGGAGGGTGGGGAGAGAATCCTTCCATTTCTCTCTCCCTCCCTTTCATTTCCCTCTATTCAAACATGCTCTTTATAATCAAGATTAAGAAAAATGTTTATACCTGTTCATGTCAACATTTTCTTTTTATAATACACCTCAAATGTACATTTAGATATATGGCACGTGGGTCTACTCAAACTTTTGTGAGCTGCTTGTCCTAAAGAAGCTGCTTGTTTTAGCAATTTTATTACTAAGTCTCCCATGGATTTCATGACTAAAGGAAGTTTAAAGTCTGAGAAGTGAGAAGGAACCAGATGCCTACATCTCCCAGGATGTTGGTAGTGTGTTTTTTTTTTTTTTTTTCTTGGTATTTTGTACTGCAGTTATGGACTGATGGCTTGAAAGGTTTGTTGTGTATCTCTCCAATTGATGTTTGCAACTTTTCAACAGTGGAGGAGACTGATCCACATATTTGATGGGTTGTTTAAGATGCCGGTAAGTGGTTCATCTCTTGATAGTGTCTCTCCTCTTTTAGACTATCATCTACAACTTGTGGTGGATTTCTTAACACATTTCTCGTGAGCAATTCAGCTGGCTGGTTAGTGGTGTAAAAACTTGTATTCCTCTGGCTGAACCTAAATTGGACCGGAGAATTTAGTGTAAATTTAATCATTATAGGTGGATTTTTTCTTTTTTTTTTTCCCCCCTTTGTGGCTCGAATCACCTTTTGTTTTATTTTCCTTGCCCATATGAAAATTGCCTTATTATTATTATTATTATTATTATTATTATTATTTGGAGAAAAGGAAACTTAAATTGCCTAATCATTTGGTTGAATACAAATGTGAAAATTACACCGAAGAAGTACTGTTCATAGCCGAATTGGCCGAGCAATAGCTTTAAAAGGATAATGGGACTCAAGACAAATGGGAGCAAATGGAGTGAAGGACAGGCTGAAGTCACGACTAACGAGTTTTCATTGTTCCTTACTAAGTACTAATGCATGTTGAAAAGACGGGGAGATCGTACGGACCATTGCTTCTGATCATATGAACATTGCAAATTCCTGCGGTCGGTAAATATGTTGACTTAATAGTATAAAAAACAG